CCTAAGGTCCCTGATACTGGGTTGGCCTTCGCAACCTTTGCAAAATGCTACATACAGGGCCCCTTACAACCCAAATCAGGAAACTATAAAACATCCCAAAAGCCACACCATAAACCCTAAACCCTAAACCCCAAACCCTAAACCCTAAACCCTGAACCCTAAACCCTAAACCCTCCATTATTTCCTGCTGCAGAGCGCCTCTTCCTAGCGTAGCGGCTCCTAGCGGCTCCTCTGCCGCTGCACACACTTTGGGTGCTCTGCTGGGTCACCTTGGCTGCACTTACGAGGGTAGTTATGAACCCGAAACCCCAAACCCCAAACCCCAAGCCCTAAGCCCCAAGCCCTAAGCCCTAAGCCCTAAACCCTAAACCCCAAACCCTAAACCCTCTTTTACTATGTATATTTAAACCCTAATGACCTTCGTGGGCATGTGGTTTTTTTCTGGGCCCTAAACCCTGACCCCCTTCGTGGGCAAATGGTTTTTTTCCTGGGCCGTGCCGCCAAAAACACACCAAATGAGGGGGACCCCAGGATCGGCCCGGGTCCCAGTTCAAAATGCGATTTTTTAGTACTGAATCGACGGTTCTGGGTGGGCTCTCGTTTTCTGGATTTTTGATCAAAACCGAGCCTTTGGGCCCTAAACGCTGACCCCCTTCGTGGGCAAATGGTTTTGTTCCACCCGGGGGGGCCCTAAACCCTGAGCAAATGGTTTTTTCCACCCGGGGGGGCCTAAACCCTGACCCCCTTCGTGGGCATAAACCCTGACCCCCTTCGTGGGCAAATGGGTTTTTTCCACCCCGGGGGGCCCTAAACCCTGACCCCCTTCGTAGGCAAATGGTGTTTTTCCACCCGGGGTGGCCCTAAACCCTGAACCCCCTTCGTGGGCAAATGGTTTTTTTTCCACGCGGGGGGCCTAAACCCTGACCCCCTTCAATGTTTTTTTCCACCCGGGGGGGCCCTAAACCCTGACCCCCTTCGTGGGCAAATGGTTTTTTTCCACCCGGGGGGGCCCTAAACCCTGACCCCCTTCGTGGGCAAATGGTTTTTTTCCACCCGGGGGGGGCCTAAACCCTGACCCCCTTCGTGGGCAAATGGTTTTTTTTTTTCCCACCCGGGGGGGGCCCTAAACCCTGACCCCCTTCGTGGGCAAATGGTTTTTTTCCACCCGGGGGGGCCCTAAACCCTGACCCCCTTCGTGGGCAAATGGTTTTTTCCCACCCGGGGGGGCCCTAAACCCTGACCCCCTTCGTGGGCAAATGGTTTTTTTCCACCCGGGGGGGCCCTAAACCCTGACCCCCTTTCGTCGGCAGATGGCTTTTTTCCAACCGGGGGGCCCTAAACCCTGACTGGCAAATGGTTTTTTCCTTTTTGGGGCATAGGGCTCTTAGGGCTTGGGGCATAGGGTTTAGGGCCTCAGGGCCCTGAGAGTTTCGGATTCAATTCGGTGAAGAGTTTTTTCAAGGTTTTCCAGAGTTTTCAATGTTTTTCAGGATGTTTCAGGGTTTTTAACCCTGGGCAGCCCCTGCGACTTTTCACAGCCTAGTTTTGGTCAAGGGGGGGTCGTATTTTTCAATTTTAAAGGCAAAATAGTCTTCTGAGACCCCTCCTTGCCTCAAACTCCGACCCCCCCTTGAGAGGGAAAGTTTGCCTCCAAAAACACCCAAATGAGGGGGACCCCAGGACCGGCCCGGGTCCCAGTTAAAAATGCGATTTTTTAGTACTGAAATCGACGGTTCTGGGTGGGCTCTCGTTTTCTGGATTTTTTACCAAATCCGAGCCTTCACCGATAGGGGCTTCCAAACCGTAGGGTTTAGGGCCCTAAGAGCAGAAAGGGCTTATTGTGGGCCTTAGATTAAAATTCGGGTTCTAAAGACTAAAATATTTTGGACCAATTGGACTTTGAGCTTTAAGCCTACCGGGAAAGTATTGAGTGAACTTTATATTTTCTCAATGTTATGGGTTTCTTGGGTGGGTGGGTGGGATTTTTTTCCAACGCTTGACAAGCTGCTTGACTAGTGAATGCTCGGACTTGAGATGCTGAACCCTAAACCCTAAACCCTAAACCCGCCCGCCACCCCTCTCACCTCTGTTGGGGTAGGCGGGCACAGTCGAGCGCTCAGCGAGACCACGGCAGGCTCTGCTAGGCTGCAGAGCCTGCCAGGCACACTAAACCTCAGAGGGGGGGGATCCTTTTTCAATTCCTGGCGACCCCTACCCCTCACCCTGGCCCTGGCACTGGCCCTGGCCCTGGGCTGGGCCCTGGCCGCCCCCTCATGGCTTTGGGTTGGCCCTGCCTGGCCCTGGCCTGGCCCTGCCCTGGCCCTGGCCCTGGCCCTGGCCCTGGCCCTGGCCCTGGCCCTGGCCCTGGCCCTGGCCCTGGCCCTGACCCTGGCCCTGGCCCTCTGGAGCTGATTTTTGCAATTGCGGAGACTCTTCACGCCCTGAAATTTTCTGTGAGAAGGCCCTTCGGCCCAGACCGTCCCCTGCGCAAAACCTGAAGGGGAATGTTTGCCTTCTGCCCACAAGTGACCTCCGAAATCAAGGGACACCCTCGGCACCCCCTCAAAGTCGCAAATGTCCGAGGCAGTGCCAGTAAGCAGGGGGGTCTTAAACCCTTCCAGTAGGCAGAAGGCTGCCAAAGAAGGCCCTGGAGCTGACAGGAAGCCCTGAAAGGTCCGACCCCTCGCTTTGACCGCTCTAGTGAGTTTCGTTCTCTGGCCAAGTGAACTTCGGCGTGGGGGGGATTCTTGCAACACCTGCAGACTCTTCACGCCCTGAATTTTCTGTGAGAGGGCCCTTCGGCCCAGACCGTCCCCTGCGCAAAACCTGAGGGGGGGGATCCTTTGCCTTGTGCCCCCGAGTGACCTCCGAAGTCAAGGGACACCCTTGGCACCCCCTCAAAGTAGCAAATGTCCCAAGCAGTGCTCGACATGCTGCCTTCTGGCCCCAGATGATCTCCGACTTCCTAGTGTCCCAATCAGCCACTGTTCCCAAGTGACCCCCCCAAGAAATCGCCAACAGCTCGCCTCAAGTTCGGCAAGTGTTCACGACGCACATATCCCAAGCTTTCGCAGTGTTTTATCTTAGTGTGCTCTGAACATGTTCGATATGTGAGATTTGAATGGCTGGCTTGGCGTTGGCTGGCTCCGGTTTGGTTTCGTGATGAGTATTGTTTGGGTGGCCTCGGGGTGGGCATGTCTTCACACTTTTGCGTTCAGCTGACCAATGCTACACCCTAAACCCTAAACCCTGAACCCTAAACCCTAAATTAAAGAACCCCACTAAACCCAAACAGGCTAAGGATCTAAAGTTACAGCAAAGTCACCTCCAGCGCGATAGAGGGTCGAGGAGCCGCTGCTCCCGTCTCTGAAGGTGACGCGGCATGTCTCCTGGCCTCGCGCGTCAGTAGCCCTAAACCCTAAACCCTAAACCCTAAAACCGAAACCCTAAACCCTAAACCCTAAACCCTAAACCCTAGACCCTAAACCCTATACACTAACCGCACCGGCCACACCCGTGTCAGTTTAGTACGATGACAGTCGAGCGTCTCACTTACACAACTTGGTAGCCCAGTAACCATATTATAATAGGGGCACCTTTTTCTGGGTTGGTTATTTTAATTTATCTTATAAGGGAAACCACAACCAAAAAGGGGTAAAGAAACCACTCTACCAAGACAAAAAGAAAGCGCTACAAAAATTCAAGATCTCAGCAGCCCTAAACCCTAAACTCTAAACCCTAAACCCTAAACAATGTCTCAGCAGCACATGTACTCTGCCGGAGGCAGCTTGGGCCAGTATCGAGGATTCTCGTCGTTGAACTCGGCTACCGTCATCACATGGCCGTCATCGCCGTACTTCCGGTAGGTCTTGAAAGGCCCTTCCTTGGCTGACTTCTGAACCCTCCTAAAAGTCTAACTTTTAGGCTCGTTCTTGTAGTTTCTGCAAAAACCCAAAAGGTTAAAGTTCGAGGGGCCAGCCAGAAGAAACCCTGAACCCTAAACCCTAAACCCTAAACCCTAAAAAGCCCAGCTTCTCTCACTTTGCAATTTTGCATGTTGAGGTTCTTGAAGAGCGAGCCCGTGTCGGCCTGGA